TGCTATCTTTTATCAGACGTCTGCAATTGCAGATTGATGAGCAAACGCTCTAAAAATACGTCTTGCAGACGTCTCCGTGATGTGCGTGTGCTATCAGGGAAAGGCACGCGTGGCGCTCGTCAGTCCCTCAGCCTCTATTTGCCATTGGTAAGACTGGAATGATCAACTTTCTGGTTGTCCATCATTTTAATGGTTTTCTCCGCATTGTCCATGTTCCTGATGAGGGTCTCGAGGCGCCTCTTGATCTTCTTCTGGTCCTCCAGGGCGCAGCTGATCACGACGCTCTGAAACTTCTGATCCAGAGGCACAGGAGGCGCGTCGGTCACACACGCGGCGTGAAGGGCCTGCAGACGCTTTCTGGCCTCCTCCATGTCCTCCAGCACTTTCCCAGCGATCTCGTCGATAATGGCCGTGGCTTTCTTCAAGGCCTCTTCCTGCTGGTCGTTTCGGATCGTATCCACTGAAATGCTCACCGTTAACGTCCTGCCCAGGAGTCTCGAGGCGGTCAGAGAGAGCTCTTCCCTTTCCCCTGAAATCAAAGTTGAAATGATGTTTATATGTTTTCCATTACAACGGTGGTCACGCAGCACGGAAGGCGTACCGTCACAAACGCTCCTCATCTCCTGACTGTTTCGTATGGACTGGATCATCTCGATCAAGCACTCTCGCTCCTGCTCCATAGCAGTGGCTTCCTCGCGGAGAGCCTCCACCCTGAGAGAGATTTACTGAGATCATTGCACTCCAGATACAGCCCTGAAAACTCAATTATGAAACTCAAGGCGATGAAAAACATCAAGGAAAATGTACAAGCTAACATGCAACCGTTTTGGCTGTAATTTGCAATTACAGCTGTCCTAAAAAACATGCATGCATGTATGCTAGTGCGGTTTTATTGAGTATTGTTAACCATGACTCTAACATTTTAGTTTAGAGGACGTGAGCCATTCAAATTCTTCATTTAAGAAGTGTTTGAACTCCCCAATAAACAAAATCATTGCTTAAACTATATAAAGTTCTTATAGAGGTGCATGTGAGAACAATCCTATTTGAAAATGTTATATTCATCTCATGTTTTGCATTTATTAAAAATGCATTACAAGAAATTTGAGGAACAGGGTGACAATCACAAAACCCACAAATGCACATTTAGACACTGATGTGCGTTATAAACAGAAATGTAAAAACTTCAGATATTAATGCACACTACTCGTATTCAGTTGCGGCGATAAGCAAATGCGTTCACTTTGCACGAGGCGAGACTTGTGGATCTTCCCGGGGTTAGTCTGTACCGATCAGACGATCAATATCCTACCTCGTCTCAATCTGATCCAGACTGTCCAGTAGCTGTCCGGAGCGGTCCGCCATCGAAAGCGTCCGGGAGAATTTGCCTTTAGATGCATCGTTCATTTTAGCGTTAATTTTCGCTTGTGCCATAGCTGCTGCTAGTCGCGTTAATGAATGATTTGACGGGTGCAGTCAACTGTATAGGATATATCGGAGCAGACCACCCGAGCACTATAGCCGACAATGACTCGTTCACTCTTTGAATGACTCGGTCGAGTCGATTCACAAATCTCCGAACTG